TATCCATTCACTCATTCAACAAGTACTAAGAGAAGATCTATCCTGGCCAGCCTAGCAGCTAGAACACAGGTAACGAAAGACTCACTCCTGCCTTCCTGGAACTTGTGACCTAATACAGGTTTCCACAAATSATGGCCTGAGTACCAAACGTAGCACCTGACCTCTTTTAGTTCAACCCTCTAGTTAAGGATGGTTTTTACAAATTTAAAGGCTTGTAAAGATGAATAAAGAAGAAAGAGGGAAAGAAGAAGCAAGAAGGGATGACAGAGCCGGGCACGGTGGCACATGCCGGTAACCCTAGCAGCTCAGGWGGCTGAGRCAGGAGAATTGCGAGTTCAAAGCCAGCCTCAGCAATGGCAAGGTGCTAAGCAACTCAGTGAGAGCCTGTCTCTAAATAAAATACAAAATGTGGCTCAGTGGTTGAGTGTCCCAGAAGAAGGAAAAGGAGGAGAAGGAGAAGTCCCTGTGTAGCTGGCAAATCCTAAAATATTTACTCTCTGGGTCTTCACAGAAAACGTTTGATTTGCTTGGTCTCGCAAAGCAGATGAACCTTGCTCCTTTACAGCCACCCTGTCTGACTATTAAAAGGGAAAGGTTTGGGTTAAGACTGGGCCTGAGGAAAGAACCAGAAGCAGGCAAGGTGATTCTTACAGATCATGAGGCTGGGAGTTTCTGGGCTACAGTTGAGTTGCCAGTTAGAAATGTGTTATTTGCAATTCTTTGGCTGAGTGCCAGAGGATGACACTGAGGACTAAACACTGAGTGCAAGGAGAGGGCAGGTCAGGGGTTAGCCCAGGAATGCAAGAGGGAACAAAGTCAGAGGACACTTGCTGGAGTAAATAGTGAAGATGGAGAGCAAGAACCTCGTCAAAGTCCTCTAGAATGCCGGCACTGCACACACACTCACATCTAAGGAAAGACTGGTCCTATTGTCATTCCCATTTGACAGATGAGGAAGTGAGACACAGAACAGTAAAATAACTTACCAATAATCACACAGCTAGKAAGTAGAGAAGTCAGGACYTAAAACCAGAGAGGCTGATTTTAGGATCCATGCCCTTAACCACTACTCATCTGGTAGGGGAAGAAAGGAAGGCAGATGGAAAAGAAGGACAGAAAAGAACGTGGAGATCCGGTTGTATCCCAACCCAAGGGGTGAGCAGAGGAAAGCAGGACTCGGGCCCCAGTCAGTCAACAGAGAATGTCCCCCAACCCCATGACAAATGTGTCTGAGCCTTCTCTGTGCCAGGTTCTCTGCTTGATGCTTCAGGTTAGGAAATAAATGGACTACACTCTGTCTCGAGGGGATTAAACAGGCCATGCCAATACGGTCCAGATTAGGATCTGTAGAGACCATTGGGGTTCATGGAGAAAACAGCTCCACTCCGAAGGCAGCTGACCTATAAGTTTGGAGTCAGGTGCAAGGGAAGGATGTGGAGCTTGGGCTGCTTGGCATCACCTGGATGAACCACTTTCTGGTTTAGGTAACAGAAAAGGCTCAAAGGACAATTCAAGGAGCCAACAAACATCAATGTGCAGAAGAGAGATGCCAAAGCACACATCCTGACGAAAGGCCAAGCAGCTGGTAGAGAGGGATGCCCTTAGGAATTCAGGTCACCTGGCAGATCACCTGGCAGAAGATGGTGCAAACAGAAATGGAGCAAGGGATCAAGACACATTTTTCAGGTCTTTGTCACACCATCATMCGCACCTCACAGGTTTTTTTTGCTTCCTCTTATTTCCTAAAAGCCAACTCTCCCTCTACTATATGATCTTGCAAATTACTGTCATTAGCGCCCCCTAGTGCTGGGGAAGACCTGGGCGGCACTGGGCACTTGATGCTCAAGCTCCTCCTGCCCTCCTCCCCAGCCAATTGACCTTCCCAGAATGAGCTCTCGGGGCCTTCCTCTAAAATAGTGACAGACTCCTTTTCTTAAATTTCTCCCCATCAACACTCCAAGCACAGCATGAGGTTGCTGGGAACCTGTGCTGGCATTGGTGACTTCACCTTTCTCCCTCTGGGAAATGAAGCCACGCTGTAGTCACCAAGGCCATGATAACAGTGCAGGTCATCAGCAGTTCTCGGCAGAGCAGAGAAATGTCAAGGTTGTTGGATGTCTGAACGGAGCTGGAGGTCCTAGGGTTAATGTAGCAGAAAAAAATGACAGTGTTCAGAGTCACAGGCTATTCCAACAATTGTCAAGTCCTCAGGAACCACTCTCATTAAAAACAGACTCTTTGTCTGACAACAGGGAGGGCGGTGCACTAGGCTACAGTTCTTTTCTGGTTTTTAACATATAGATGGATGTGCCTGTGATGAGCATTACCGTGGGCACAGTTGCTGCTGGGCCACCATATTGGACAATCATGGGACTGTTGACCCAGAATTCCCTCCACTGAAGAATTACTCACCCCAACCCCGTTCATGTGACTGGGTGTTTTTGTGGCCTTGTCATTCCTGCCTTTTGTGGCCTTGTCATTCCTGCCGTGCTTGATCGGTTAAATTTCAGTACTTAACCAACATGGGCCAATCAGGGCTCTTGCTTGGGTTTCTCCCTTCTGGAATTAGAGGGTCAGTCTCTTTGGTGGTAGAAGTTGGACGATGTAAGCGTCAGGAACTTTGAGTAGCTGCATAGAAAGCCACAGGAAGGAAGACTGTCTACAGTGGGAGAAGATGCAAATGAAGATATCAAGCAGAGATGAGTGAGGTGAAAAAGAGCCTTGGCAACACACAAGTCTGGGGATCCAGTTGTTCATGAGGCCAACTTGCAATCGTGTCACCTGCAATTTGGCAGTCCATTGTTCCCTGGATTCCATAAGCAGGGAAATCAATGTATTTTTCCTGTTCTGCTTCCAGCTTGAGTTTCTTTTACTTGGTTGTAATCAGCATCTGAATYCTCCTGTACGTCTGGTGACACTGACTGTACGGTGGCATGGGAAAAAGGAAGAGTTCTTGGGAATGTCCTTGCTTTGCTCTCACAGTTGGGGTTCCAGTGTGCAGTGACCGTCAGCCCCTAGCCCAGGGGAACACACAAGTCCATCCAACAGCCACACCTCCCCGTGTTTGCCCACACCCTGCCTGCTTTAGCTTCTATCTAGTTCTCATTTGCCCCGTCCCTCCAACCCAAGTCTGCTTGGGCAATCTCCCTGGACCTGAGCCCACTGCTTCATTCCTAGCTGTTTCTTCTCTTTCAGCATGAGAGGTATTCAAACCCTCCAGCCCACAACCTAAGTTTGCCTTGATCATTCAGTATCGAGGGCCAAACCCCACACAAGCACAGTGAATCACTTAATGTTAAAATGGGATGGTATAGACCAGAATGTTCATAGGAGGCCAGAAAGGGGGGGAATGAGTGTGGAAAACAAATCGCTTTAATCTGGAGCAACAGAAAAGATATTTCAACCTGGAAAAAATAGAGAGAGAGACAAAGGCATTGAAACAGAAAAGAGCTTAGGGGACAAGAGCACTACAAACAAGAAATAAACCAGGCTAGAGTACAGTGTTCTCAGAAAGGGACCAGCATTAGGTAAATCTGAGAGGTAAAATAAAGTCAGATTACATAGGGTCTGTTTTTTTTTTTTTTTTACATAGGGTCTTAATAATCAAGCAGAGGAGGTTAGTCTTAATATACATGAATGCATCACGGTAGGTTTTTGTTCAAAGAAATTTCATGCAGAAAATGATTTTTTTAACTATGTCTTTTTCACAGAAGACAAGAAAGATATCCCTGATTTACACCAAAGATATGAGAAAAGATAATGCTTATTCCCATATTCCCACTGCCGAAACTATTCTTCACTTTCTTAAAGGTCTCATTTTTGGTTTAGGAGTGCTTTTTCTCTTTTGGAGTGCTATTTTAAAAGTTGAATGTGTTCGATGCAAATTTTTGAAAATACAGACAAGCAAATGTAAAAAAAAAAAAAGAAAGATTTGCCCCCAAAATTCACACGCAAAATAAGCATTAAGACAAAGTTTGTTTACATCATCCTATAATGATTTATAATAGACCAAAAATTATTTGTCTTATAAAATTCTTTCTCTCAGATTTAGYAATMTATTTTCCATTGGTTGCTTTTGAGYTAAYRAATYCCTCCTGTTATAATTAAAATATTATTTGATTCATAAAAATTAAAATTACATTTACCTTTTCTTGAAAATTTTTTTAGTTGCCAATAAACGTTTATTTAATTCATTAATTATTTATATGTGGTGCTGAGAATTGAACTCAGTGCCTCACATGACAGGTGAGTGCCCTACCACTGAGCCACAACCCCAGCCCATACACTTACCTTTTTTAGAATTCTAACCCATAGCTCGAATAAACATTTTCCTACATTTGTTCTGTGATACGGTTAGAGTTACAAGATATTCAGCCCCAAATAAGGGGGTTAGGTTTAGGAAAGKTCTCATTCTTTGTAGAAATCAAAGATTTCTAAATGTTCTAGAATTRAATGATCAAACCTAAGTRAAATTTGCTCCRAGAAATGCCTTTTCAATGAAAATTCATTAATTTTAGAATTGTATAATTCTAATTGAAATAAATATATTCAAAAACAAAGAGCTGAAAACACGATCCTGGCCCAAATGTCCTACACCCCTGGAATTTATAGAACAAAGCCCCATTCCATARGAAAGTCATGGTCTCCTGTCACCCAGTGAGTCCAGTAGTGGCCACATGGCCACTTTAAGAGGGCATGGAGACTAGAATTCAAGCATCTGCTTGAGGTTGGATGCATAATTATTAAGATCTCTTTCAACCCTGAGAACCTGAATTTTAATTGAGAGCATTTAATTAAAAAAAAAATTCCCATTTCAGATTCAATCACTCATTTGCCAGCCTGGAGCAAGCCATATCCCCTCTAGATCTCTGTTTTTTCATCCATGAAATAAAAGGACTTTTTTTTTTTTTTTTTTTTTTGGATGAGGCCAGAGCTGTCATCTGACACTAAGCCACAATCTCTACATTTCCTCAGGGTCCTTTCCAACGGGACATACTCACGTCCCTGCTCCCTTGACTTCCAGGGCCTCACGGAACACCTCTGTTCTTCCTCAACATAGAGGAAGAAATGGTGTAAGCAAACAAAATCATCAAGGGTTGCTCACTTGTGCACACAGAGCACGCACCCAACAGCTGGAAAACAAAGAAAGTAGGTGAAAGGTGAAGTTGTTTGGCTGAATGGGTGTCAGAGGTTGGCTCACAAATCCACAGGGAGGCCTGGAGCTCTACTAAAGCCAGCCTTGCTGTGAAAAGTCTTTATATCCCAGCAGCCCAGCATCTAGTTCCCTCCCAGGCTTCTTCCGAAAGACCTAGAAGCAAGGAAAGCCTTCTTTGGAGGGGGTGGTGGCTGTTTTGTTTTGTTGATTTCTCAGAAAAATAAATAGAATTTTTTTTTCTTTTAAGGCTGAGGTTCAGTCAGAGACCCTTCCTCTTCCTAAGGGGGAAAAAAAAAAAAAAAAAAAAAACCCTTCCACTGTTTCAGCACAGCCCCAGAGCCCCTTCGCGATTTGGCTTCTCTGACCCCTAGGAGAAGTCTTGTTGTTTTGTGAGCTTCTCAGAGTCCAAAGAAAACCAATTCCAGGCCTCTTTTTTCTTCTTGGTGTTGAACAAGAACAAGGGGAAGATAAAGAGTATTTATTTCATCTGGGATACTTTGCAACGGGGAATGAAATATCTTTGAGTTGTGGTCACTTATGGAGATGAACTTCTACCCATCCTCCAAGCAAAATATCACAAAGACCAACAAATCCTGGATCTAATTAAGTCTGAGAAAGGCACAGAGTCTGATTCCCTGGCTGAACCCAACACTCCTGAGACAAGCACCCTGATTTAAAACCCTTGGGGCTCCTCCCTATGCAGAAGTGTTACCAGTCTTGCAGTTATACCACTCTGCGTGTTACCAGCTCACCCCTGGGTGCTTTTGCTCAGCTTGAGATAGAATCCAAAAAAATGCAAGCAAGCAATACCATCTAACAGGGCTCTGCTAGGGTTTATGCTCAAGCATAAGGGAAACACTGCATGGGTGAGTGATCCCCAGACTGGTTCTCCAAGGATGTGAGGAGTAAAGCATAAAAAGACAAAAAAGCAGTCTAATGCAGATGCACAGTAGCTGTTGCACATGGCCCCAGGACTTTTGCACACATCTTGTCACTTCTTGCTTTGGGCACTAGGATTTGCACTTGATGTGGTGACCTTCTCAAGCACATTGAGTCTTGATGTGCCCCATTCACAAAAGATGATGGAGACTCTCCTCAACATGTATCAGTCAAGTTCAGGCATATTGTGCATGTAGAAGGCACTGGAAGGCTTAGGGAGATATCATTCTTGACTGGTCAATGATGGAAACAATTTTTGAAAGCAGGTTGTGTTAGGCAAGAAAAGAATTGGGGCTTTCCCTCCCTGCTCTGTCTCAGAACCAGGCCCCTTATTTGTGTCTGCATGCAGTATATACACTCAATAAGCAGTCTAATATTTTTAGTGCAGTGCCCAAGGTCTAGTGTTCCCTTGGTCCTGTGTCTCTATCCTTAGAGGCTGTCATCTGAATTTACTTCAAGGTTGGTTGGTCCTGTGTCCATAATTACCTGTGTTCACTTTAGAGAGAACTTATCATGCTTAGTTATTTATGCCTAAGACAGAAAAGGGGTCTTCCCCAAAGTCTCAAGACCAGCTGGAGGACTGTCCTGTTGTCCTCAAGAACCTGCTGGCTCATTCATAACTCTAACAGATTTTTGTCAGGACGTCACTTGATACAAAGGTTGTAAGCAAGGGGACGTACACCAGAGGTAGGGTCCCCAGGACTTTTCCAGTTTTAGCACTGAAGTTCCCATGTCCCCAGAAGCTCAATAACATCAGGCAAACTGGAAAGCTGGCCATCTTCATATCTACTAAAAGACTCTAACCACTGCCAAGTATCAAATCAGCTGGAGTCGGTACGAGACATCTCATGACCCTTTTACAGACTTAACTTTCCAACAAGGAGCAAAGGAAAGATGGGATCTAGAGTTTTCTACTCAAAGTATGGTCCACAGATCAAGAGGATCCATATCGCCCCGGAGGTTGTTAGAAATGTAAGAACTCAGGCCCCATCTCAGACCCACTGAATCCAAGTCTGCAGTTTAACAGGGCCTCAAAGTGAGTCTCAGCACAAGGGCTCCAAGCACATTGAGGTGCCAGGACCTCACTGAGTAAATGACAGCTGGATCCTGAAGTCAGTGGGAGTCAGTAGGCGGAGAGGGGTGGGAGGAGGCACAGGGAACTGGAAAACAAGGGCAGAAAGGCGAAGAAAATAACAATGTGTTCATTAACCCTGAGTCATTTGTTGTTTCTGGGTGTGAGAGATGGAAAATAACTTGGGAAGACAGGTGGGGAAGATGGTGGAAGTCCTGGACCATCCCACTGGGCTATGGCTCTGTATCTTCCCTGCTGTACCAAGGTTCAGTGAGCTACAAACTGTTTATGTTCTGAAAACTAGAGCCCGTCCCTTCCCCTGGCCCAGACTGGCAGCTGCTGGATTCCCAAACTGCCAGCAGAGAAGGTCAAAACAGGCCCAGGAGCTGCGTTCAGGTTTAGGGTCTTCTCTTCAGGGTCCTTTGAAGGTCAGAGCCCTGAGTTCCTTAGGGAACTGACTCCCTAGCTGACCATTAAAGGCATGCAAACCCAAGCCCTCCATTTCCAAATGAAAAGTTAACAAAATGAAGAAGAATGAGGAGTCTTGAGGAACGTCTCTTTTATTCTGACACATAATATGGAGTAATGATTGCTAACTACTCTGTTTCCGTTTCTTAAATCACAAAAAAGAATAACGCTTGGGCTAACCTCGTGAGTTAAGTTTCACTGAATTATGCATGCAAAGTTTTTAGAACAATACCTATGTAGGTCCTACTAGGAGCTCCCTAGAAAGCAAGTCCCCAATTAAATCATTGCCTTTATCATAGCAGAAGTTTAGAGACGTGGCTTTTTGAGTAGGGGGACTCTGGGGGCGACTGCCAGCCTCCAAGTTGAACTCCAATCATCCCCTTCTGCTGGTATTCATACCCTTGTGCAGTTCACTCCCACTGTGTTCCAGAGTTGGCCCGTGGGACCAATAGCACTTGATAAAACTGATAATATATCAYTTCTGAGATTAGGTCATAAAAGACTATGGATTCCAACCTGGGCTCTCTCATATCACTCACTTTCAGCGAAGCCAGCCACCGTGTTGTAAGCTGCTCTGTGGAGAAGCCCACATAATGAGAAATCCAGAGAAACTCCAGCCAACARCCAGTGAGAAACTGAGGCCTCCAAAAGCCAGGTGAGTGAGCTGAGAAATAAATTCTCCAGACCACATCCAGCCTTGACATGACTACAGTCCAGACCAATAGCTCAACAGCAACCTCAGGAGAGATCTTAGCCAGGATCACTCAGCTAAACCTCTCCCAMATGCTTGACCCACAGAAAATGTATATAATAATAAATGCTTGTTGTTTTAAGCTGATTAGCTTAGGGATAATTGTTGTGCAGCAATAAATAATTAAAGCATCGGGCTTGATGAAATATATGCACATCACCATTGAGAAGAGACTAAGGAAATTAGCTCAAATACGCCAGGGCTTACTCCAGAGGGACCGCCACGAAGTCCAGAATCTGTCTGAAAACAGCAGTCTTGAACAAAATTCAAGAAGTGGACAATTTTGCTCAACACAGTTTTTACCAGGTGGCCAATGGTCAGGTATAGACATTCCAACCTAGTATCACTACTCAGAATCCAGGAAAGGGACCATTGACACCCCAAAAGAACTTTCCAGAGCGACTGTTCTAGTTCTAGAATTAAGTCTGGCCCAATTGTGCAAGGTATTAGAGTTCTGGTCTGTGCACTGAGGCCCAGTCCAAGATTTCTACCTTAAACCTGGAAATAAAGCACAGTGACCAAGGGATAGATGAGTTCTGCAGGCTGAGCCAAGCCAGGTGGCCACCAAAGTTAGGATAAACATTTACATTCAACAAATCAAATCTTTCAACATCAAAATAAAATTCAGCATGCCACAATTATTAACAAGATATTTTTAAGATCTATTTTTAAATTAATTTATAGTGCATTGTTGCTAGAATAATAAGAACTTGTGCAATGGAACACGAGTTTATAGTTGGATAATGAATGTCATCTTCTTAGCCTCTGTCTCTTTGTGTATAACCACAATTGGAAATAACACCAAATGTCTAAATTTAAGGTCTTCTATGAAGAAGAATCCACCACCACCATCTAATAATCTCTGGGAAGGAGGGCTAGAAAAGATGCCTCTGGGCTATATGATATTGAGAAAAGGAGTGTGTTAGATTAAAAAAAAAAGAATTGGATTCATAGCAAAGGAAATGCAGAGACAATGTAGAAGCCCAGTTATTAGGACTGATTCTGAGCATGTCACCCAGTTCTAAGTCCTTAATGGAGGGATGTTAAGCTCAGAACCAGGCACCTCCCAGGGAGGGAGATGTCAGGCAGAGATCGGAGATCCAAGAAGGTGACTGACAATTGGTGAAGAAGGAACCTAGCTATAGATGGTTGTATTTAAAATCTTTCAGAAACTTCACATACCCTATTGTCTCCCCCCACCCCTGCCATGATGGAAAGAGGTTTAAAACTTTGGACTCTAAGTTTCCATGGGAGTGAGTTTCCAGAGGTTTCCCARGTCCTCAGCAGCCCAGGTCTTCCGTTTCCAAGATGGTCAACTGGGTCAACCTCGTGTTACGTTGGCTCTCGGGGCTCCAGGTCCTCCATGACATTTCCCATTCCTGGGGCCAGTCTCTCCACTCCACCAGCACTTCTCCTAACACTGCAGAAAAACAGAGCAGAACTTCAGCTTCCAYGCTGAACCTCAAGTGCCGATCAACCCCTCTGACACATCTGGGGCTGCTCCCTCCCAGTCATATAAGTAATCCTCTTCACCCACCCTTCCCTCCACTGCAGGAAGAAGAAAGAGTGACACAGTGCCAAGTAAAAACTGGGGTCAGGGCACCCACACCACTGGGACTGGCTTCCTCAAACCACAAGAAACCTTAGTACATCCCTCTTTGCCTAGTCCCTCTGTTCCCTTTGAAATAACAACGTTAATAGTAATAATAATAATAATAATAATAATA